ATAAGCAGACAATTAAAAAAAAAAGAAACTCGATCGACCCTTTGCGTATTCCGCGCGCGCACCGTCTGCTCGCGAAAAAAAGCGATTTCCGAGGGTATCCGTGCGCACGAGATTCCAACGATTCGGCTCCTCGAGTTGGAAAAACGCGTTCCCTCCGCCAGGATTCGCGTCGCCGCATCTTTCGTCTTTCATCTTTCTTTCGTCATAATCCTTGCGAAAAGGGGGCGAGGGGAGGAAAAAAATAAGCTGGAAGAAATGTCTACGATCCGCGAGAGAGAGAGAGAGAGAGAGAGAGAGAGAGAGAGAGAAACGAGGGGGTGGAAAGAGGGCACAGCATTGACATTGACTTTCCTTTCGGGGATGGAAGGGGGAAGATAGGTGGAAAAAAAAGGGAGGATGCTGGCAGGTGGTAGCCGTGGAGAAGGCGGAATGGCGGGCTGAGAACGGGGGCGTAATGCTAGGCGACCAATTGCGCGGAAGAAAATTATGGCCGGCCGCGTGTACCCATCCTCGGGGTAACGTAATTTCATCGGGAGGACTGCTCTGCGACACGGCTTTGATAATAAAGGGACAACGAACCGGGATTACGGCGTGTTCATTGTCTTCTTGCCGGGGATCGGGTAACAGATTCTTGGCTGGATGTTGATAAACCCCTGGTGCAGGGGTTGAAGGTTGCCTGGGATATAAGAAAGGGGAAAGAATAATGGAGGAGAGTTAATGTAATTAATCGTGGAAAATAGAGGACTGTATATATATTGTTTTTTTTTTTTAAATTATTTTCGCGTGAAAGTAATTCTGAACTGAAAATTTGAGAGTATGTTAAATAAATAAAACTACGATGAATCTATATTCAAGCATGAAATTGAAAAATGGTGAGCAATGCTATGCATTCGTTGGCTGGAGCTGAGTAGCAAACAGCGAAACTATCATATCCAGGAGTATTGAATTCTCTGAGACCATTACAATCCCTTCTAAATATTCAGCTTACGAACAGATCCTTTGATGTACCGCTTCCAGAGCTTTTCGCTGTTGAAATATTCACACTATCGATTTGTTAACTTGATAATATACTTGTTTGCCAACTGATCGTAAATTATTCGCGAACAGCAGCGAATTGCACGCGACATTAGATAAAGAAATCGATCTTCATTATAATACTTTGAATCTATCTTTACATAACAACTAAAAACTTGCCATCAATATGGATACCTATTTATTTAGATCTATTTATTTATAAAAAAAAAAAAGAAATAATAATAAAGATCAGGAAGTGATTCTCTGTAATTTTTTCAGATGCTGACCAATCCTTGCCAAACTTCCTTTTCATTCTAATACAATTCCTTGGTGAAAATTGTATATGAATTTTATATCCATAAGGCAAGCGTTGCCAAAAGGTTCGACGAATACAAGGTAAAACATTTTTAATTCGCATTTTAAAATAATTTATTCGTCGCGCCAAACAATGTCGAAGATGAAGTTGTTGGATTTTTGCATTGATCCATCCACGCGTATGAAGCGCACGAGAAAATGGAGATACGAATTGAAACGAATCGATCGTCGAGCGAGTCGCGTTATCGGTCCTTTTGATTACCCGATCGTCGAGTTTTCGAATATATCGTTCGGTTTCGGATAGGCTCATCTATCATTCCGGGCAACGGTACAACGGGCGCCTACGTAAAGGAGATACCCGGCTATGTCTCGAGTATGTATCGATAATTCATCGCGTGCCACGAGATACTCGTTCAAGATGAATTTCGTGCCTCGAAACCGATAATCCATCATTCGAACGGAATTCGATAAACCGCGTATATCGTCCAACCAGGTGATAAAGTTTCCCTTACACCCCAAGTAATCTGTCTACGAATGATCGTGTTCGATTTGCTTGATATCTCGCCTAGGAAATAGCCAGCCAACGACAATAGTTAACAATTTTCCAAAGAGGCTTAGGGAAGATTTATCGGGACTGAAGCGGTCCCCACATTCCATGGTTATTGATTTTCGATAAGTGCGAGAAACAATCGTGAAATGCGGCGAAAAATGCAAATGGATTAAGAAATACGTAGGAAATTCTTTCCCATCTCTCGTATTTTCTTGGAAAACGTCAACACGATTGTGTTGTTCACGCATCGAACGTATCGTGCAATTTAATTAAATTCATTAATATCGTAAAATCAATATTTTCCTAGCACGTAGATGTAGACAAATATGTATAAAAATAGATAGAAATTCTGTATTCTCGAGATATTATCGCACTTTGTTCAAAAGAGAGTCGCAATTAATGCGTTTAATCCCCATTAGAATCGATGGTAGTTGAGAGTGAGATTTGAAGAAACAGAAATAAGTAATCGTTCCTCGATTAAATCGTGTCAAGTCTGGAACGGGTCTGTATTCAGTGTCGTTGCGTTTAATTGCACGCGTAGATTATAACGAAAACTAGACAGTTTTGTAAATAATTGGAAAGCAAGTGCGGTGCAGTTCGATGCGGAGAGGCAGAGTCTGGTTGCTTAAATAATTATATTTCCCCGGATCTCATTAGTACTTATGTTTCGCGGCCATTCTCCCGCGCTTAACATTTCCGAAATTACCTAAGAAACCGGGATTGTTACCTCGAAATGTTGTTTACTTTCACAAGCAACAAGCTTTAGAGCGAACGATCCAACTCGTTTCTAACTCTTGCTTTTTCAGATTCTACTCGTTATGCGGTGTATATTCGAACGAAAGAAAAAGGATTGAGACTTTCGAAGTAAGTATAAATCTTTGTCTCTGTGGTTTGAATAAAGAACAAGAGGAACAAAAGGTTTGATCGATGAAAGGCGCGATGAATGTTTTGTCGAGGATACTGTTCGAGAGCGAAACTTTTCGAGAATATTCTTTTTCGCAAATGGACATTGTGTTGGGAGTGAAGGAAATTAGTCACCCTCGATGTAGTATATATTCATTCGTTCAAAAAAAAAAAAAAATGTTTCGAAAAGTTTTATACATCCTTAAAGCAAAGCTAATATATTTGAAAATAAATTTTTCATGAGTTGTTCTCGAAAAGTCATTTGTTACCAGGGGATACTCTGGTCGAGAATGAAAGTCACTGTTCGACGCTCATTTTTAACGGAACGTCGATTTGTGAAAAATTTTCTTGAGAGAGATTCGTTCACTTTCGAATGTATTTCCGCACCCCGACATCGATAGGATGGAAACGAAATCCGTCCGAATATTTTTTTTTTTTTTGCGCGTAGTGCATGTAGTTTAGAAATTATTGAGGAATTTTTACGTAGGTAAGGACATCAATTCCCATCACCTGCATTGCGCATCCGGTTTCGCCGTGTATTCGCACTTCTATACGGATGGATGGAACGTCCCACGTGCTTGGACAGGATACAAACACGGATCCAAGAGCAATGACATGCACTCATGGTACCGCATGAAATATTCCATTGGCCCGGCTACGTGATATTCGCAGACGCACGGAATATTCCTTTGTATCTTTGTCTACAGGTGACACGGCTAAAGTGCACTTTTCTCCAAGCGACGAATGAAAAATGAGAGGACCAGTGGACGGATAACGGGGAAGAAACGGTCAGACACGCGATTCGTGGATACGTACAAGTTTTTCCCGAGCAAAAGAAAAGAATTAATGAGACTGGATGGTTGATTCTTATAAAAAGAAAAAAGAAATAAAAAAAAAGGAAGAGAAAGGAAGAAGGAGAGGGAGAAGAAAAAGGAGAATTGGTACAAGGGAAAAGAAAAGTATCGCGAGAATGAAAGTTTCTCTTCCAACTGGGCAAGTGTATCTTCACGGTCTAAAGTCGCGTGAATCGTTCGTCGGCCTTTTTTCCCTTTCTCTTCTACTTCTTTTCGTAGTAAAGAGAGATGGCAAGCGTTAACTTCATAATATAAATTTTCTTTCCATCCGACACAAATGGATAAAATCGAAGAAAGCGGAACAAATATCCTTTGTTCGCGAAGTTTCGCGAAAATATTTTCACGATATTGATGTTTCTTTCGTGAAAGGATCTATTTTTATTTTCATTCCCTCTATATATTATTTGCATATTCAAATATTATTATTCTTCTATTACAAATGTAAGGAAATATAAGGAGAATTTTTGCGATCAGTTACAAAACAGTAAATTGATTCACAGAATGGCTCGATTCGATCATCGTTAGAATGAAACCTTATCATCGATTGCTATCACGAAACCCTCGCAAATCAAGATTACGTGAGCTGTGTCGTTCTCGCCTTAACCTCGTTTCTCTTAACTTCTTGCCACTCATCTATGTCAAATCAGGTAATTTCAGTTAAGTGGTTTTGTGAAAAACGTTCGAAGCAAACCGGTATTTCGTTAAACAACGCTGCTTTACGTTATCCCATAATTTCTGTGAAGACGAGCATGAGAAACGAAACCTTCGTCAATTTAACATTCTTCTTTTTTCGTCCGTTCTTCAATTTCTGTTTCATTCTTCTTCCACGTCTTTGATTTGTGGTGGTTTACTCTTAACAGGCAACAGAATATCTTTTGCAATTACACTACAATTTCATTTCATTCATTCACTAAAAGTATTAACGCAAAACTACAATAATTTAATGATAATGAATAATTTTTATGTGTTGAAAGTTAAATTATAATAAATTAGTTACAAAAGAGAAGAAAAAATATTAATTAAATAATTAATTATATTAATTTTATTAGAGTTATATTTAGAGTTTGTTAAATTATGACTAGTGTAAATTAAACAAGGTATGCTTGAATTGAAAATAGAAAGCAACACAACAGCGTTAATTATGGGTTGGGTGGCAACTAGTATTATAATTGTGTCGGGAAAATTACACTCTCAAATATACTGGCATCGTTATAGAAACATTTACAATTACCGCAGACACAGCTGCAATTTCATTCTGCATACTCTATTCGTATTCCCTCTGTACGTATTTGTCGTCATAAACCGAGCAAAGAAAAATACGCATCTTTTATGCAACGATATAAATCGTTAATGCAGCCATTGTGCTTTTTATTAAAAATAAAAATAGTAATATATTATTTATCTGCATGCTTTTTGTCGTGTTAAGTTTCAACTGTGACCACGGTGCATGCGTCGTTTTGAATAGACCAATAGGAGAGTACGGCGCGAACGCATCAGCCAATAGGAACGACGGATAGTAAATAAGCAGTTACGCGGCGCACGGTCGGGACGCCGAGTGGCGCGCTGCTCGCAGTACCGCGACAACCCTCGAGCTAAAAGCATCGTATTGATGCTGTCGGTGACCCGTGCGTGAATCGTGTCGTGAAACGTGAGAACCTCCTTCCCCTTTTCGTTCTCGTGATCCGACCAAATTCGTACGCAGTGCTGTGGCAGTGCGTCGCTCCTTTTTATCTTTCACTGTCTCTCTCCACCTTTCGTTGTCGCACATCGAAAACTTGCGTGAAATTGCGGTAGACGCTCGCGCCATTACGTGTCCCTCCGTACCTTGTTCGTTCTTCGACGAAAATAATTGTATTTACGGGTATTCTTTACGAATTTTGAGCACGAGTTTTTCTCGCGATGTCTGTGAGTGATATGTGAGTTGTGTTCTCGTCGTTCTTCTTCCCGACTGACATTGTTCATCCTTCTCGGAGGAAGGGAAGGAGTGACAAGCCGAAAAATCAAGCATCGCGAATAAGGTAAGATTTTTTAAGTGATACAATACGTTTATTAATCTTAAATAGTAATTATTATAATATGGTTATATTTGACTAATTTTTAATTGTGTTCAAAAAATTGCGTTCGAAAAATGCGTTCGAAAAATGCGTTCGAAAAATTGCGTTCGAAAAATTCCGTTCGAAAAATTGCGTCGTAAAAATATATCGCGAATGATGCTATAGAATATACAATGGCGTATAATATACATACATATACGTATAATACGCGTTTCGAATTGTTTTTATGGTTTGTTGACATCTGACTCGTTCGATTCAGTTTTCCAAGAATTTTCGTCAGGTAGGGCATTTGTTTTCAAACGTATATGTACATTCTATGTTTCTCGTTTTGTTTTCTTTTCTTTTTCTATACTATTGCGTCTTGTTTTCCATAATACATTTGCTGCGTAATATCGAATTACTTCGTGGCATAGCCACGCTTAATGGACGTTATACGATTGAAAAAAATAAAAACCGTTACTTTCTTTTATGATTAGCTATTTTTCTAATCTTTTCTCAACCATAAGCAAAATATATTTTTTTTTCGTTCTATTGTACAGAAGCTTTATATAATAATAGTTTTTAAAGTCTCGATTTGTACGAGAAAATCGAACGTAACTAACTTCAGAGTAAAAAGACTTCATAACGAATATTATTAGGTGAAACACAAGCAAATATAACACAAGGAAATACACGGTATACTATTCTGCGGTAGATTTGTGGATTTGTTACCGAAAGTTTGTAACCTGAAACAATTATACTTCAATTGGATCGTTCCACGTTATGCCTCTGTCAATAGATTGTATAGTTAGACTATTTAGCTCGTTATCATCGCGTATAGAGTATATGTATTCGTTTCAAATTCGAAAATTTGAACATTGTATAGTTTTAAAAAAAGTGGCCTGTTAACGATATAACGATAGTTTCACTTGCAATTTTCAATTTTTTCTCTCGTAATTGGTCGGTAGTCTAACTTAATAACTTTTTTCCATTTTCGAGTGTTCGAAGAGCGAAAGTTTGTTTTCGCAATAATTTTCATGCTGATGGAAGTGTAATTGCCCCAGTTTTCGGTCCTTTTATGTGTTCCAGTGGTTGAATATATGACAATGTCGCGAAACATTTCTCGATTGAGTGCATTGAAAAATGAATTTGATTGTCGATGGTGCGCGCTTTATACGATTACCTAGCTTTCGTGGCTTTCGAAAAAGATATAGGTTAGAATGGTTGTCGTTGTGTCGATATACAAAATAAACTAAGAATTTGATGGAAAAGGAAAAAAGTTTTGAAATCAACTTTCCAAAAATAATGTCAGGTTAAAATAATCGTTAATTCTTTCGAACACATCGATCATTTTATCGATCGATCATTATAGTATATTTATAATTTCAATTTAACGCGTTCACCAATCAAATCATCCATCTCGATATTTTTCAGAAATATTACAGGATTTGATTTCATATTAACATGCTTATTAATCGATTCTCAATCAATTATTTCCTACTAGAAATTATGTGTATATCCATCAAAGTGTAATGCTCTGTTGCGCTTCTCATTACCATTTCTCCATTTAATTATCGAGAATGTATTAATTAATTGTTATTATCGTTAATTCTTTCACCTCTCTTCCCACGATTATTCGCGTTCGTTCAACGTGTCTTTCATATATCAGATAACAGTATTATGAAAGATATCTTTATATATAATTAATCGCTATCGTTGTTCCTTTTATTATTTTTACAATTGCGGATTCTTGGAATAAACGAATCAGATATTAGGTTTAAAACATTCTTTCAAAATTTTTATAATATTTATAATTTTCGTTACTCGCATTTCAAACGTTTTCAAACATTTCTCGATGAACGAAAGATGGAATCGTGATATCGAAATTGGAATAGATAAAAGTAAAAGGGTATCGAGGATGGATTATGCTTTAGTGGAAAGTTAACGACTTTTCGAAAGGAATAGGGATACAAGTTTCACTTATACTCCGTGTACTTTTAAAACACGGCTTCTTCGGGCTAAAAGTGGTCGAAATTTGTTCGGTTCATCGGTCCATATCGTGAACCGAACTTTTGTAACGGATTCTAAGGATGAAGCACTCGAGGAATCCGATTGAAATTGAATATCCAGAGTGCAGGAACTTCTTCGGTTGTTCCTCTCACTTCTTGCTTCCCGCACTCTCGTCGACGTTTCACTTTATTATTGCTTCGATTGTATTGGTGGACAAGAAAGAGGGGTGGTGACTGGTTATTCTCGTTGTAAATCTTGTTTCGAGCAGTAGATCTAACCGAAAAACTTTTTCGGCCTTCTTATTCAAACGTTATTTAAACGTAGGCAGAAATATCGTTTCTTCGATTCTAGGATATAAGAACTCAAAATCGTTTCTTTTTATGAATTTATCTTTCTGTCAAATTCATATTAGGAGAGTTTCGATAACGAGATAAAAGCCGAGTAAATTTTCAAAGATACTTGTAAGATAGAAGTGGTTCATAAATGTTTTATAAATTACTTTTTTATCGGTTATCGAATTATCAAAATATGGAAAATAGAATTTGTATGTATTTTATTTTATTATTCGATTATTTAAATCATATGAGATTTTTTTACAATGAAATTGATACGAAATTTAAATATAAATGAATAAATTTAAAAAAAAAATATTTGTATTTCCTCTCTTTGTTTCTATTTCCGATTATTAATATTCTCGACAAATTAATAAAATCATTAGCAAAAAAAAAAACTTTTATATTTAAATTTATTATAAAAAGTTAAATAATATTACGATATTGTATCAATTATTCGTACGTAATATATAAAAAAATCTCATCGAAATTAATTAATGCAGAAAAAAAAACATAAAAATCTATATATTTTTTAAAAAATAATCAAACACGTTTTACACCAGGATTCGTATATTTATTTTTCGCGATTTCTCGAAATTTATTAACATTTTCACTTTTAACGTGACGATTCTCCGAGGCACGATATAAATCAACAACAATATCGCGAAAGCTTGCGGTCGTGCACGTGAAATACTGTCCCCGAAAACCGTACGAATGCACATTCTCTCGATCGTTTTATGACCGACAGAATGGTGCCAGAATTTTTCGTTTTATTCGCCAGTAGAGAAGCACCGACATACCGGATGTCCGGGCGCATGCAGAGTCGCGCGTTGCCCTGGAACATCGGTGAACTACTACGTTTAAATTTATGTAAAATCTCCTCGTGGCCCGACATAGAGAGAGAGAGAGAGAAAGGGAGAGAAATAGAGAGAGAAGCTGCCGGCGATGCTGCTTTTCATTATTTACGAGCCAACAAGTAATCGCGTTCACGACAACTTGTTGCTTACTAGAAAACTCTGAACTTGGCGGTCGTGGGACCATCGGTTCGTTTGTTCGCCAAAGATAATCGCGTGGCGAGCACGCGAACTCTTTTCTACTCGATTCCAGCGATTAACAGGGGGATTAGTTTTCGATTACACGCCGGGGAACCATTTCCGCGACCGATACTCAGGGAAAAAGAATTCTTGTACCTGTTATTGGATTGATAATTTTATCCTGTTTTGTTTTGAACGGGGATTTTGGTAGATTTAAAAAAAAAAAGGATCCTTGTAAATCCATTTGAGAATTTAATTTGGAATTTAATTGGTATCGAGAACAAAGTGTGATAATTTGTTATTGAAATAATTTTCTTTCAATAAGTTTCGTTTCAAAAAAAAAAAAAAAGAATTTTTTTGAAGAATTTCATTAATATATCGATCCGATCTTTCGAATCATTAATTAGAAGCAGTCATAACAAAATTTCTTCCATTATTTTTCAAAATTTTGGCAAACATTCTTGCAATCAAAACGCAGAAATATCTGAAAATCTTTTCAGATATAAGAGTAAAGATTTTCAGAGCGGAGCGGATAAACGAATAGGATCTCGGAAAGATGAATTAACGGCAAAATGCTCGATGATAAATTCGTGGCGTGAAACTGTTTTCGTTCCACGGATTTTTCGGCTATCCCTCCCTGCTCTCGGATGTAAGTTAAGGGTCAGAAATTGGGTCAACTATGCCGAGAGACAAACGGCCCGACACGTAAGCGAAATCCGGTTTTCTCATCGAGCAACATTTACGTTGCGAGATATTTTAGCGTGAGAGGGTAATGAAACGCAATGAAATGTGACGAAAAAATACGAGGGAAAGAAAGGCGAGGGTGGAAAAGAAAGGTGGAAAGGGTGAAAAATAGAGAGAGAGAAAGAGGGAAGATCGTTTTCGGTTAGACGATTATCTTTCTCTCTCTATCTTTTCCATCTCTATCTCTCTGTCTCTAATTCTGTTTCTATCTTCGTCTTTGCCTCTCTTTCTGGCACGTGTTCACAGCCAGAGAGAAAATCTCACTGTTTCACGATGGTAAACGATATACGACTTTGCCGGTGAAATAACGTGCTCGCGCCTTTGTCCTATTCTCGCCTGAAAATGTTCCCCAAATTGAGGAATAGTAGAGTGAACTTGTTCACTTCGTGGATTTAGAAAAAAAGAAATAAATCGAAAATTTTTTATTTATATTCGATATATTCGAATGGAATATCTATAGCCATGTAATAATTAACGATTAAAGTAGATCTAGCTAATCGTGATTTTGACGAAGGATTACTTGTTTAGTTTATTCAATTGTCAGAATTAACGCGCGATTAATTTTAAAAATTCCTTTTGACGTGGAATTAATGTACGTCATTTATTAACAATCTGCTTTGATTCTGTCAGTATTACATGATATATACGTATATATATATATATCAAATAAAATTTTAATTTAACGTCAATTACAAAATATTCAAAATATAATTCGCAATTAATATTTTTCAATCGGTCAAGTTTAGAGCTTAACGTTCTCGATTAACATTGCATGGCTTCAATTTCATCAATTTTTCGTCAGTTAATCTTCATGTTTCTTTTTTTTCAATCGATTAACCATCAATACCACGAACCCAATATTCTATTTAAATCCATATTATCGAAAGAAAAAATCTTTATATTTCATAAAAAGGTTTCGCTCATTTTCAATCAGCGAAACGATCGTGTAACGATTATCCGTTGATTTTATCGGAATAATCAAATTTTTTTCCACTATAATACATTCAATTTGCATCCCAACAAAACGAGCTTCATTATCATTCTCATTTGCCGGATAATTAACGTTCACCGAATATTTTTAACAACGTAAAATCCACTCCACTCGATATCCACAACGATTTTCCTTTTTCACGATTTTTATAATTTTTAAAATTATTCTCTACACCGAGAAGAGGAGTCGATATATCTTACTTGGAGCTTTCGTTCCAACATTCTCTCACGGTGTAAACAGTTCTGTAAAAATTGTCCCCCAACATCTGATCCGGACGGAATCATCGAAGATCGCTCGAAGTTTTATTTTAGTTTCTTAGCGGTGGAAAGTAATTAACGAGTTTCCTCTGATTTGGCAACCGGTTGCGGGGAGAACGCATCAACTTTCGGATGTGCGCGGTTCGTTAACGAGTTGTGTTAATACGCCAGCCGCTCGGTTACTCGGCTTATTTGTATTTGCGAAGCGAATTAACACGCCAGCCAACTCGTTCCCAACTATCTGTCGGTCCGGACGGATAAAAAGATTCCCGTTTTTCAAGCGGAGATCGGAAAATTGTGCAATTCTTTCAATCTCCGTTTTCCACGCATTCTTTTCAATTATGTTTCGATATTCTTCGGTATTCTTTCGTTTGCGATTAATTCGGTGCAATTCGATGATCGTATTATTTTATCGTTTTATTGTTTGGTCGCGTTACAAAGTTTTCTCGAGAGTGTAAAAAGTATTCTCTAAAGTAGAGAGGATTGCTCTCGAGAGAAGAAGGGTATGAGTAGAGAATCACTCTCTCGAGGAGAGTAGAGTCGCTTTCGAGAGAAGAGGATTATGTTCTCGCGGAGAATATAGAGTTGCATCCGTGCGAACTGTATCGCATTGCGGAATATCTGGCCCGTGATTACAAAACGGATATAAATGTTGTACTTGTATGGGATACAGTGTGGTTTATTCTTGGTTTGGATTAGTTGACTTTTGAAGAGAAAGCTCGGAGCATTCTGATATAGGGGTTGAAATTCTGCCTGGCCTTACCACCGCGTTATTTAATCGCCAGTTGTTTACGAAGCTTAAATAACGTATCCCATCGTACGAGATTGAAAAAGTTTGGCGAGTGGTGCGCAAACAACGCACAGCCCTTTTTTTTTTTTCGATATGTAATTAATCGAAACACTACCGTGGACAAATCGTGGCGATAATGAAGGCCAGCGAATATACCGGCATCGTTTCAAAAATCATTTTTAATTCGTCTTAGTGAAAAATAATCGCGCGTGTAAAAGAAACGCGTACAATTGCTTAACCCACATTTTCGAAAATTTAAGATATTTCCTCGAAATTTTAGGAACGCGATTGAAATTCGGCGAACCTTTCTCCCCTCTCTCCCCTCTCTCTCTTTCTCTCGTTGCAAATTTCACTAGAAATTTTCACTTTGGCGAACATTCTCGATTCTGTTTCTGACAATGCGTTTCGAATATTTTATCGCGATATCAGCGGATCGACCGGTCGAATTCTCGCTTTGCCATTTCGCGAAAAAGGAATTATTCGGCGAACAGGGGATGCTTTTTAATCGATAGGATTATTCGTTTTTTTCATTAACTTGGACACGCAGTCGAGGCCAAAACGCGTGGAACAACGATGTAAACATGTAAACGATGCCTCTTTCCGCGCAATAAAGTTATGGATATTCATCCGAGTATTTTTTTTTTTATACGACCAACTCGCATTTCGATGTAATTTTTTTGTTTTCTGAATATTTTCCCCCTTTTTTTGAGATTTTTCGCGAAATTCGTAAAAATAGTCGAGAAATAGTGTCGATATTTAATGAAAACGATCGAAATGTATCTGCAATGTACAAATAAGATATCGATTAGAAAAAATCCCTTGTAGATATCATCCGCAAATTATACGTATAAAATTCAATTTCAATTTAACTCTCATAACCGTGTTTAATTTAAAGAAAAAAGAGACTTCCACACTTCTCACATTTCCTCTATTTCAATCCCTTTTGCCAAAGACTTCTTCTCTCTCTCTCTCTCTCCGTGACACTCTCTCCAAACAAGCGAGAAAAGAACGAATTCTCCGTTACAAAAGGGGGGATAAATTGGGAAATGGAAAGTCGCAAGGTTAATTAATGGAAAAGCCTGGATGTATTTATGGAGGAGGGTGGTTCGACAGGGTGGAAAATCGCACGAGGGCGACGCGAGCGTGAAATTTGGACGAGTGGCGACGTAGGCGTGGAACGATCGGAAGTGATTCGAATGCGATTTGAATTTTGAGCACACTCGCAGAATCTGCATATGTAAACACCGCTGCATACCTCGGCAGCGATACGATCTGCGCGTACGTGCAATCATCCCGCCTATACAACCTGTGTCTCGTTTATTCGACGAGACGATTCCACCGGAATCTTCATTATTAAACGAGAAAAAAAAAAAAAAAGAATCGATTTCCCCGCATTGTCACGCGCCTCTCTCGCACAACCGTGTAACGGTCGATTTCTGGTTTGGCGCTCAACCAGCCTTTTCAACCCCCTCCTCTCCTCCCCCCTTTTTGTTGCCACCACGAATTTTCGAAGGGTTTTATTATTGCGCGAACCAGTCTCATTGTGCGCTCTTCGATTCCGATAGATATTGAAATTAGGAGTGAAACAAGCTTTCGTAATTATTATTTGTTATCGGTTAATGACGGATGAAATGGTTTGGGCTGCGTTGGGAACTGCGTTTTGTTTGCCTTTGGAATAATAAAGAATGGCCGATAATGAGGTTGCGGGATAGATGGGGCGAGATCGAAAACACGGTGCGTATTCGGTGGAGCAACCGTTGGTACAAGTTCCGTGGACAATTCGTTCGATATGGTGTAATTGCGACTCGCATTGCGGAGGCATCGATCGATGGAAGGAGGCTACGCTCGAGGGAGAGGGTTTAGAGCCTCTGTGAGATTTAGCGTTATTCGTTCGAACTTTAGCGCGATGTATTATGCATTTTATTTCATTGCACGTAATTTCGCGCTTCCTTGCTTCGCAGTACAATAATACGACGTAATAATAGAAATTACACCTTTAATTATTAACGATATAATAGAAATATTTTCCTATTATTCTGTGCAATTATCGATCATTCAAAATTTATTTAGAAAAATTAGATTATTATTATTTTCGCGATCGTCGAAAATTTCTCCTTATTTCTCCTTATTTTGTTTCTGAAAGAATTCACTCGTTCCACTCGTTTTTTGAAATACCACATTTTCCCCGTTTCAACACAATCGTGAATGATTTTTCAGATGCTTCACGGGACGTGGTTGCAGTGGTCGACGCTGCTGTTGTTGTTGCTGGGTACGCGGCTACTCTTGGTGGTCGCTCAATGTGGATCGTTCACTCAGGATAGACAGGAGAAAGAGGACAAACAGGATAAGCTGGCGCTATACAAAGTCACTTTAAGGACTTACTGGTCGAGGGCGCGATTTCCACGACATTATCCGGAATGGAAGCCACCGGCCCAGTTCGGCAAGCTGATCGGTGAGTCTTTAAACGATATATCCCACGTATCCGCGTTTTCAACAATTGGCGGTTTATTAGCTTCAAAATATTCGACACTGGACTCGGATATATTTTATTTCGTAAACTTTCTCTTCGAAAGTTTCGTACGTAAGGACGATGAAATGAGGTAAACGAAAGAGAGAATACAATCGATGAAATCGTAATCGAAAAGGGATATAGAGTAGGGATATAGAGGAAGGGTGCAATTGAAGAGAGATGGAATTAATGGAAGGATAAAAAGAGAAGAATCAAAAGGAGTAGAATTGAAGAGAGTTAGAAAAGGGATATGTATAGTGTAGGAAGGGTGTAATTGAAGAGAGATGAAATTGATAGAGTGCAGTAAGATCGATATAATGAGATCGAGAAAGGGGGAGAATCGAGAGGAATTGAAGGGGGTTGGAATCGAGATGAGTAGAATTGGGGGGTGTAATTGAAAAGGGACCTAAAAAAAGGAATATAAATCTCGGAGTCTATCTTAACGAATATTATTCTTAAACTTTAATTGATTTAACGAACGAAGATACAAGGAATGCGAAAGTTTCTCGTATTATTCGAGGGAGAAAATTTCGAATCGTTTCGTCAGTTGGGATCTCGAAAATGCGGAAATTCGCCCGATTTCGATGATCGGCCAGCACTTATTTCCGAGACTCGGCGCATTTCGAGCAACGTCAGCCAACGGAACACGCCATTTCCTAGGTTTATTCTCTTCGACCTCCTTTCCCCAGCCGGCGTGAGAAACGATAATTGGAGAAGTTGGAAATTATCGGACGTCGACGCGTACGTCGTCGTTTCCGGTCTCCGCCGTTTCAAACGGAGTTTTCCTTCCCTCGAAATGATATACCGAATCTCCCGTAACGATACCACGCGATGTACGACATTTATTTTATTATCTTCTACAGAATTTTATATTATTATTTTTTTTTTTTTAAATTATATCTCCATATTTCGCTCATATTATCCTACGTGTTCGTTCCTTTCGACTCGATAAATCTTTCCGGCTGCACGGAATAACTTTTAACAAATTTTACTTTTCTATATTTAAACAAAGGTATTAGCTACCCGTGTTACAAAATTCAACGAGATTGTTTCAATCGCGACGCATATCCGCCCGTCGAAAAAAATAAATTTCGCGAGTCTCCATAAACAAGAGAAATATTTCAGATGTTAATGCGAGGCTGGGAACAGGTGTCGCGGATCCCCGACGGTCCATAAATTCTCCCCTTTCCTCTCTCTCTCTCTCTCTCTCGTAACTCCACGCTATTTTGCACTTTCGATTCGTGACCGTGGCCAACCATCGTGGCAACCATCGAAACTGTGGATCGAAAGAGAGAGAGAGAGAGAGGTAGAGAGGATTGTAATCGAAGGGAGTGTAATCGAGGAGGGTTGTAATCAAAGGGGGAGGAAATAGAGGTAATCGCAGGGGGTGTAATCGAAGAGAGATTGTAATCGAGGAAGGGGAGGGAAATGGAATTGAAAGGGGTGTGCGATCGAGGAATGGAAATCGAAGCGAGGAATTGAAATCGAGAAGAGTAGAATTGAAGGGTGTAATCGGGGGAGGTGCGATTGGAATGATGGAGGAAGGATGGAATTGAAAGGGGAGCGTAATCTGGAAGGGGGCGAAATCGAAGAATCGAAAGCTAAAGGAAACGGATTCGTCTCGGGGGGATAAATCCGCGAATCCCCACCCCGAAGGAACGTCAAATTCGAATTAGAAAGCGTATACGAAATTGAATTTCGCTTTAAAGACCGGTGTACTCGTCGCATTCTCGAGTCGAGTGAACATCTACTCCAGGGGGCGGAAGGGGAAGAGTTAGGGGAGGGAGGGAGGAGGGGCGAAGAAAAGAGAAAAGAGAGGAAAAGGTGGATATGCGGGGAATGCGAATGCGCGGCATTTCCGCCCGGTTGACGGCCGTTTTGTTTTACGCTCCACGAAAGAATTCGTGAAATCGTTAGAGCGACTCGACTCTGTGCCCGTCACTCGACTCGCTCGGTCTCGCGCTACGCCTCGTCGAAAAGCTGCCGTGTCATCCGTCGAATTTTCCAAACCCGTGTTCGTTAAGCCGGCTCTCCCCTTCATTTTTCCACCCCGAAAAACTCGACCGGCCACGCGACCCTGCGTTTCATCCTTTTTTTTTTTTTTTTTTCTTTCTTTTTTTTTACACGGTTGACCACCGTGTAACGTGGTTAAGAACCACGTATTCCGTCTCTTGTGTAACTGGGTGCAAAAATCTGCCAGCCATATTTTCCGTATATTTTTCGTCTACTCACTCCCTATATTGTATCCTCTTTCGCTGTAATCCAATAGAAACTGTTCATACGTCATCGTGCGAATCTACAGCGCATGATACATTTTTTCCAACGTTTTTTTTGTTAATTAATGTAACATACATTTTGTTACATTCTCGTAGCGGTTTCTTGTTCGCTATTTCTTTTTTTCGTGTAACGTACTCGAAAGATGATCACTCGCGCGAAATTTTTCCCTGATATACACGAATATTCGCGTTATTGAGCGTACGTATTCAAGCTGTGACACGAAAGATTTATTTTCACGCTCCGTGAACCAAGTACGATGACGTATTTCCCGTGATACACGTAGACACGTGGCGCATTGTCTTGACAAGGATGCGGTCTAACCGCGAACATCGGTGATATTACCGCCTCCTCCCCACTCGATCCCAACAAACCTAACGCGCTAACGATCTAAAATTTCCCCTATATTCCCCACACACCCGTTTTCTCGAATTACCCAATTAAAATAAAGCATTTGCACGTTTTAGAGAGCGTGTCGGGAGAAGTGGGTCGCGTCCCCTCGCGTTTCCTCCGAAAAGAAAACGTAAAATGGAGAGTGCGAAATACACGGTCGCCGATAAACATTAAACGTTTCGAGAAAAAAAAAAAATAAGGAGAAAGGGGAATGGAACACGGCTACAAAACGTAATCGAAAATCCTTTACGACGATTCGTCGTGCTATCAGACCAGTTCCAGATATCGAGAGAGAAAGAAAAAGGACGAGGATTTTCTCTTTCTCTCTCTCTCGCTCCGCTATTCCACAGGACGAGAAAACGTTTCCAGGATATAACCTGCGTATATACAGAGACGAACGGGCACGTTCGATCGTTAACAGCCGACTAATGGAATGGAATTCGCATCGAGATCGTCGCTTCCATCTCTGGATCTTCTTCTCTACCCTCGCAATGAGGTAGAGCGAGGGGGTTGCTCTTTTCTTTCTTCCTCTCCCTTTTTTCTTTCTTTCTTTCTTTCTTTCTTTCTTTCTCTCTCTTTCTCTTTTCGCCACCCGAGAAATCGTAAAATCGGCGCTCGCGTTGTTTTCCTCCTGCAATCTCTGGTCCGCTAGACTTAATTCGACTTCTCCTCTTTTTTTCTCTCTCTCGGTCTTTTTCTCGCCTTCGTTCCATCGGTTTTTACCCCTCCACGGTTTTCATCCCTCGTTCGCTAGGTATTTTCTCCTGCAATTTTATCCCCTGTTTCTTCCTTTTTCCACACGTTGGGAAAAGGTCCCTCGTACGACAGTGTTTTCACGTTTCACGCGATAAGAAGAGCGTTAGAGTGCGTGGGATCTAATAATACCGTTTTCGGATCGAGATATCGACGGTCACGTAGATCGTCCCCTCCGTATCTTTCTCGATATTGTCTCGCCGTTTCGGGCGAAGGTTTTAACATTAAGCCAGTGATTTCGCTCACGCGAATTCTCCAAGAGGAGAGAATTGGTCACAGGGAATTAATAATAAAACCATCTTCTGGATTCGCGCGTTTAGCGTTTATTTAATCCAAATCGATCGTGATTGAAATCTTGGTACATTCGATACCACGAGTTTTGGAAATAATCTCATATATATGAGATATCGATACAGAAAATTTCTGTTCTGGTTGATAGCGTTTAGATCAAAGGGCAAGGAATATTTATATTCCTTTCCTTGCACGGATGTGAAAGGATGTTTGGGATGGATCGGATTTAGAAATGTATTCACTCTTGTAAATTAGTGATAATTTTTCAACAACTTTTTTCATCAAAATTCTAATATTCAGAAATGGCAATTACTTTCAATGTCCAGCAATTTTCAAGAATTCCTCGAATTATCTCGAATGTTATTCAAAAATCAAACTTGTCGCATCTCCGTTTAATTAATCTCGTGTCGCTGATCGGATATTCGCGGGGACTTTTCCCTGGAACGGATGCTCGCCACCGCTTAGACAGGACGAAAAACAAAGAGGGAGGGAGGGAACGTTTTAGAGTACTACCAAAGAGTTTTCTCTTCTGCGGACGTTCCAAGAGCCGCTTCTAATTATTCTTCTCTCGAGACACCCGCAGCGCGCACGGTGTGTTCTCGTTATTTTTTCTTCTTTTTTTTTTTTTTTTTTTTTTTTTTTATTTATAGCCGGCGAGCGACGGTTTGGAGGTAACGCGAAGCGGAAGGACAGAGACGGAGGGAGTCCGGAGTAGGGATGGAGAGAGAGAGAGGGGAATAGGAAAGGCAGAGAGCGAGTGGAGAAAGAGAGAGAGAGACTCGGGGGCGTGTGCCCGAGAGCGAAGGGGGCGTAGGTAAAGAGGAGAGGTATTTTTAGTCTGAACCGAGAGAGAGTCGAGGCTTGTCTCGTTTTGCTCCCGTTTTCTCCTCTCTTTCTCTCTTTCTCTCTTTTCTCGTGTACACCAGCTGCGCTCGAATCGACGGTGAAAAGCAACAGAATCGGGAAAAAATGATGCACTTAGCGGCGCGTTTCGCGATGGTGATATATCCGTTTCATTGCTCGCTCGCTCGTCTCTTCCTTTAATTTTCCCATCGTACGTGCCTGTAAAATATTTCGATCTAACGAACGCATCTGTTCTTCCTCCTTTCCCCTTCCTTTCCTTTGTTTCCAATTCCTCCTTTTTATCGTAGAAAATCGATCATGGATGATGTATATGCCTCGTGGCGAGCAAGCAATGCGAAATAGAAAAATTCTTCTCTCTGATTCAATTG